TTACACCTTCCCCACCCTAAGAGAAGGGTGACAAGCATTGTTAAAAGGCAACTATCTAGTACATAGACACGCACTATACACACACACACACACACACACACATATATATAATTGGCAAATCAGAGGAAATTCTCTGCTACTTTTTTCAGCCCCTTATAAAAGCAGTATACACTTCTAGACAACTAGATGTCTAGCTTAAGTTCAATTAGAGCTTCGAATTCACATATTACCTCTGGGAGACTGAAAGCTCTGTGAGCCCCTCATGTGTGACTTCAATTTGAATGGAGGAGTGTGCAGAGCTGGAAGCACAGTGCGGTGAATGAGCAGGAGAGAAATCTCTTAGAGAGCACCTTGCTATGTTCTTTGACCTCAAATTGTGTGGGCCCTTGTCATAATTAATAGCGAGTGTTGCCACTTTCTTCTTGGTCTTTATCATTGCCTCCCTGACAAATAGTTTATAGTCTGTAATCTTCCCAGTGGTCTTCTCCCCGTGATGTTTTATACCTCAGTGACTTTGTCTCAGAGTTGTGTTTTGCATCTGCCTGCTCATCCATGGTGACCTTGTTTGGGCTTTGTTTAGTTTATTTGTTGCCTGATGATACACACCGAGCCTTACAGGGACCATTGGACTTTATATACATTCAATTTATTGACTGCGGTCATCACTGCTTCCCAACAGAGCCCAGGCCAAAACTAAACGGTGAATGCCCTTCTCACTCAGAGGTTCCACCTGTCCTGGTTCCCATCCTGCTCTCCTCTTGGGCCATATGTTTTTTGTTTTGTTTTGTTTTGCAGCCAGCAGTGATCTTACTAATTGTCACAGCTTGAAGCAACGTGACCATGAGAATGCAGGTTAGTTTGCCTGCTTGTGACTGGAATGCTTCATAAGCACTACTGTCACTCCTTTTTTTTTTCTTTTCTTTTTCTTTCCAGTTTGTTTGAATGTGACATAAGAGCTCGCCAACAATTAAAACTTAAAATCAAGCTAAGGTCAGTAGTGGCAGAAGACATTTAATGAGTTTGTACCAAGAACATAAGCATCCTTATTATGAAATCACCTCACATTTGTAGCTACTACTGAATAGTGGGTGACCTCAGTGCACAGAGTTAGAAATGATAAAGAACTTATATTGACTATTCTGGGCATATTATCAAGGAAATGTAACAAAAGCTTTTTCTACAAATATACCAAGAATTATCTATTAAGGTCTCAGAGCCTGTCAAGCTCAGACAGGAGAAAAGTTTTCTTCTACATAATCTAAAAGATTTAGAGCATGGTCCTGCTCTAGGTCAAGATGAATTCTATGAAAAAAAAAAAAGTACCGGGTGGAATCAGAAAATCTGATTTCTATTTTGACCCAACCATTAGTAAACTTCCACAAGTCCTTTACCATTGTTAGCCTCCCCATTTCCTCACAGCACTGACAAAGGGCATACAAAGATGCTGCATTCTGGGTAAAACAAAAGCCTCCTTTCCCTGATAGAACTTACTTCATTCTCATGGACCACGGCCCCAGGCTCTTCCAACCCCAGCAATTAGGTTGTGTGTCCACCAAGAGTCCTCTGTGATTGTTAACAGTTGTTTTGCTGAAATGACATAAAGTGAATGCAAAAATTCATAATCTGACAAAGTGAAAATATAAAAAGGATGGTTTTTGTTCCTGCAACAGATAAGTTAAAAGCTCTGGATTCTTGGTTAAGATGACTGTTACTAAAGAAACTTCCAGATGTGTTAGAGGTGAGCTGGATATTTGGAAATGACTGGACAAACATTGAGAAGGGTTCAGCTCACCAGCATTTTGGACCCTACCAGTCTCTGACTGCTATAAATAAAATCAAAGACATAAAGTTTTTGTATTTATGGAGCCGGATGAATTTGGAATGCAAATTTACCCGAGAGCCAGGGTTTGGCTACATTTGCACATTTTGTATGTTTTGCTTCTGTACTTTTTTATTTCCCAACGCGCCACTCATCTCCCCCTTGAGTGAGGGGTGGTATTATGTCACATCGTCCTTATGTCAAAGCTGCTGTTCTCTGGGGTCCTACTTGTTACATTTGAGGTCTCTGTCTCTTAAATTTAGCAGACTCTAAGATTTCACATTGTCTCTCATCTGAAAAGTCTGTCGAAACAGAATTTCAGTTTTCCCAATCAGTAATCAGCCGCTTCCTTGCTCTGCTTAGCTTTCTGGGGTCCCATTTTCCCTTAGTCTTTGGTCTGCCAATCCCTCTTTTTCTTTTCAACTCTTTGATGCTTTTAAGGTGATACTTAAAATACATCTGTATAATCACGGCTTTCAGCTGGAGGCTTTTTCTGTACAACCTGGCCCACAGTACATGCTATAGACTTCCTACAAGTCACCTATCTATGATTCTTGCTGAAAAACCCAAATGTCTTTTGAAATTGGCACGTCCCGATGGAAGAGGCTGGTGCCAAGTCTGAAAGCTTAGAAAGCCATAATTCAATTTTTTTCCTAAAGTAAAACTGAAATCTCAGGGTTCCTTTGCATTACATAATTCTGTCTCCAATATGCCAAAACAGCTAATACATTTTAGGTGGACAAACTGGTGGTAGGTAATGATTTGGCCTCCATTTCTTGATTTTTTTTTTCTTACCTTAGTATTCTGAGGAAGCTAAATTTATGTAAATCATCGAATACAGTGCTTTCCAGTAAAACTTCATGTGGTGATAGAAATGTTCTATAAACTGCACCGTCCACCCTGGGCCTTTTGCTCTCTTGAGGTGTGGCTGGTGTAACGGAGGATCTGAATTTTTACGTTATTTTATTTTAATTGCTGTAAATAGTTGCGTCTGTCTAGTGCCCGCTGTATTAGTGCAGATTCTTTTTTTTTTCATTCTTCAATTTCATTAGGTAGAATTGTTACAATTTGACTGCACATATATAATATATTGCGTGTAAATACCTATATACAATATACTGCACTTTTTTTTAAAGTTTACATATATGTACTGATCATTGTTTCTAAGAACGGTTTAGAGCTTTAGCTTTTTAAACTTACATAGTTATCAAAGGAATAAAGCCAACCACAAAATAAGAATCAACAGAATGTGGGAATCCAATCATAAAGGACAGTCAGATGTGCTTACACATATTCAAGAAATCAATCATCCACATTATAAATAATAAGTAGTTCATTTTCAACAGTGCAGATTCTAAGACAGATTTCTTTCTGCTATTTCAGGATAAACCCCTGTTATATAAGAACGCTACATAAAAATAATTTTGTGACCACGGTCTTCTCTTCAGAAGCTATGTAGTTCATGAAACTAAAATAACAGCAACCACTATTGCCACGAAATAACAACAACAGCAAAATGTTAATTAACCCAGCAAATATTTATTGAGCTCATATTATGAACCAGGCATCACGCTGCAAAGGGTGTCCTATACCTGATGATCCCTCTGCTTTCTGTGTAGATGAGGATTAAGTGGTTGATGATAGAAGACTTTATAAGCAACTTTCAGTGTAAAATACAACTTCATTACTTCAAGTTCTCATTAGCATATTAGGGAGGAATGTTTATTTGACAGTATACAGCGTAGCCAACCACTAGCTCTGTGAGATGATCTGAAACGGGGAAGAAACCAAACATTCCATGGGGCAAACTGTGTCCTGGAGTATTACAGGGTCTCAGAATTCCCACACTGACAATATCTGTTTAATTTGTTCTAATCCAATGCTTACCAACTATGAGCATTGAATCCCCACAAAATACCTGTTAATATTAATTCCATGGAATACATTTTGGGAATTGGAGATTTATACTAAGGAATTTTACAAGGCATAGGTAAGCAGAAACACTGGGTAACCTACAACGTGTTTTTTTTCCAAGCGGTGTTTGCGGATCTTCAGTGGGGGCTTGGATATATTCTCAGGAGCCCCTAATTTTACTGGAGAATTCTGAAATGATGTGATTTTAATTACATGATAATGTCCAAATATTAACACAAGCATATTTTGAATCATGTTGGTAAACGTATTCTAACAGAGTAATCTACATGATTTCTCTTAAGATTGGCTTCTAATTGTCTTATAGTGATTAAAAAAAAAACAGAGATGGATTTAAATGATCACTTGCTCTAAATGAAGACCAAACAATGGCAGGGTTGATTGTACAAATAAAGGTTTAATAAATGGAAGTAGTGAAAGAATTGAGCCATCACATGATAAACAGTAATAAGAGCGTGTTTTATCTCAAAATAATTTGTTCTGTAGCAACTATTTCAATATATTTGAAACGTTTCAGTTTCAAAACAAGCACCTTTTACATTACTGTAATTTGAAGCTTGCTTATTTTATGCTTTTGTTCATATTTACTTTGCAAATGTTTTGGTTTATAGATGTTTACGAGTTAAGTCTAAGAATTTTCCATCTAGTTTCATGTTTAGAACATTATAATTTTTGTTGGCTTGAGTAATATTATGATCAAAATAACTGAAGTCAAAAGTAGGGTTACATACAAATTATTTTTGTGTGGAAGCATTGTGCTGGGATATTTCTGTTACATTTCTGAATGCATCGTATAGCATTCTTAAATATTTAGCCAATATTTAAAATTGGTTTGCATTCCATGGCTCTGCATCATCTGTTAAATTTGCTGTGTGGCCAGGGAAGTTCTGGAAAGTATTAAAATCTCATCACGGATAATCATGAGTTGACTGTGTTTCATATCACTGCAGATAAAAATAGCTTTATTGAACTACTCAAATACGGCAATGTCAGATTTTGTGGATTTTTTTCCCTCTTGATCTCTATTGTCTTTTAAAAAAATTCCATACACAGCACATGCACTATGCAAAGCATGTTTTCAACGACCGCCTGGAAGTCAACGTTTCCAGATCTCTATTACTAGACCCATTTGCTCACTTGAATTCCAGATGCACATTTCCAGCGCTCTCTTAGACATTTTAACCTAGATGTTCAACAAGTAGTTCAAACTCACTCAACCCCAGGTTCAATTCTTCTGTTCTCGTTCCAGATCAGTGATGACTTCCACTGGGCTCATCAAACTTGAAACCCTGAAGTCAGCTTCCACTCCTTTCCTGTCCTCACCCTCACAAGAGCGGTCAGCAAGTCCTGAAGATTCTCTCCGTGCCCTCGCCGTTGCCTTATTTCAGGCTTGTACCATCTCTCAGCTGATGACTGCGACAGCCGCCTACCTAGATCCCCTGACACACCAGTTACCTTCAATGCCAGTTACCTTCAAACAGGAAGAACTTAGCTGATCTCACTGAGAGTTCTCAGCTGATTTGCTTCTGCCTACGGGAGCTGGCCTAATTTCATTTACAGAGACTTCTGCCTTATGAGGCTGTGAATTTGTTGAAGGCGAGGGCTCTGCCTTGCTCATTTTTTTTTTCTTACTGAAGCACAGTCAGTTACAACGTGTCAATTTCTGGTGTACAGCATAATATTTCAGTCATGTATACCTACATGTATTCGTTTCCATATTTTTTTTTATCCTGTTCATTTTTTTTTGTCTCAGTGTTTTATGAAGTTCTTTGCAAGCAACTTGTGCTATGTGTAGCTGAACGTTGACAGGGCACTAGTGAGGTGCTAAGAGCACATGTTTTAGACTCAGATCTAGGTTTAACTTCTGCTTCCTCTGCTACTTTGTTACTAAGTGACCCTGGGCAGATGAACTTTAAGACAGTGATTCTCAACTCTAGCATCTCATTAGAGTTACGCAAGGGATTTATTAAAAGGGCCCAGACCCACTCTTCACCCCAATTAAATTAGAATAAATGGAGGGTGAGGCTCATGCACTAGAAATTTTAATAGACCCACAGGTGGTTTAATAGATCCACAGGTTAATATGCAGCTAGGGTTGTGAATCACTGCCCTTGGCTTTCATTTCTCATCCACTATATGGGATCTACTTTAAAGAGGTTGTGAGCATGTGAAATGAAAGGAATTTAGCATAATGTCTGGCATCTAGTAAGTCATGAAGTTAATACAAAACCTCAATTTGTAAACTTCCTCTTCTCAATTGCTAGCCACTGGGTGCTTTGCCTTCCTTTCAATGCCTGGAACATATCAAACTTTTTTGCTTGTAATGCCTTTGTATTTGCAATTCACCCTGCTCTTAGCAGATCCCTCTTTATCTTCAAGTCACACCTGAAGTCATGCATGGTCTCCAGGGATTCTCCTTTAGTCTACATCACAGTACGCAGATGTTCATCATCTTCGTAGCACTTGTCTCAATTTGAAATTAGGTATTAATTTAACTCAGTACTGTCTGTTTCCCCAACTATACTGCAAGCTTCACAAAGGCAGGGACCTCGTCTGTTTTGCTTTCCTCCTGAGGTCTGGCACCAAGTCCCTGGGATGTGCCAGATGTTCAGGAGATAGTTGTTGAGGGATGAATGGATTAATAATTGATCCATCCCATGATCTCAAAAAGGCAAAAATCCTTGACTTTTTCTATCCCACGACTCTATGCATTCCCACATTAAAACACCACAACCAAAACCCAAACTAGTCCTAGAAATGACAGCCTCTAGTGTTTTGGGTTCTAGCTATTGACTAGAAAAACCGCAATCCTTTTTTTGGGGGGGATGTTTTTAATTTGGGTAAGGCTTCCAAGTCCAAGGTTCTTAGAGGCTTATTCATCAACCCTTGGGCAATAATTAATGTTAGTCTAACAATATCTTGCTTCAACTTTTGTGGCAAATAAACTTTTGTGGCAAATAAACTTTTGTGGGTGTTTGTGTTAGCTAAATAAAGAGGTTTTTGTTTTCAAGTTTACCTTTTGTTCCATCCAGTTGGGAAACCAAACAACATGTAAGGTTAATAGACGAAATTTTTCTCTCAAGTCACAGAATTATCAAATTATTGATACTTTGGCCTATGAAAAGGACCTCAGAAATAAACTAGACCAATCCCCCATTTTACAAATGACAAAAAAGCCTAGAAATATGAATTTATTGGACATGTTTATGCACTTGCTGTCACAGTATCAGGTTTCAAGAATCCTTGATCAGTGTCCTGTCAGCCATGTTACACCAACTTCAAATTAACCCAAAGTTATTCTGATTTTTCAGAGTTCATAATTTATATTCTGGCATAAAGTAATTTGAGATTTTGGTATTTCTGTAATAAAAAGTACCTATTCCAAATTCATGAGCATGACATTAATATCTAATGTCTCAAATATCTGTCCACACTCCAGGCTCTACCATCTATTTCATATTTTTCCAACTCTGAGCTCTTCAAACTTTATTGGAAGAAGACAGTGGTTCTCTGTATTTCTCCTAAGGAATTTGTATTTTGCCTTATGCTGCAGTAGGGAATGACTGTATTGGATGTAAGAACCTTAGGAGCTGGTGTCACCTGGTCCCTGCTTTTTAGGTCTTGTCTCTCCTTGCAATCAATAAATATTTAAACCAAAACAAAGATCTTTCCAGATTAGAAATTTTCCATAAGGATTTTCTTGGTGGCAATTTTTAAGTGTTTGAAAAAGCTAGGTAGAGAACGCATGGCTTGGGTGAACAGGACTTATGTTGCTTTAACGTGAGCATGACGTCAGGACATTCTGCAAAAATTGTCTCTTTTCTGGATGCTTTCCTCCTTTTTAAAGTTCCTCATCCATTCAGTACAATACACCCACAGCTTTTTTCTTCTAACTGTAGTGAAAAAACCTATAGGAGGCAGATTTAAGAGCTATAAAAAACACCAGAGAAGACAAGAAAGTTTATATAAATACTCACTTAGATGCATTTTGTTGCAAATTTAATTACTCCTTCAATTTTCAGAAATAAATGTAGCAGTAAAAAGGTCAGAAACAAAAAAAACCCATCGTTTACCAGTTCAAAGTACAAAAACAGAAAGGAATTTCACCAACTAATATTCCTTTGCAACACTCTTAAGCAACTAGTCTAAGCCCAAACTTCATCTAAAACCTTCCTCAAGACCACTATGGCTCTTCCTATAAAAATAACTCCCCAAATCGCTTTACCTGGTCAAACTTGCGGAATGATTACTAATGAAAGCGGCATAAATTATTGTGGGATGGAGAAGAGAGAAGTATTAATTATGCTCTTCTCCCCAAATAGCTTATGACTTAGGAAGGAAGGAAAAAGGTAAAGAGTAAAGGCTGGCAAAGCACAAAGGTACTGAGAGTCAGCAACCTTAGCTGGAGGACCGGCGACCTGCGCTCTAGAGCCCTGATTTCGGCTCAGACAAGAGGGACGCGCCGAGGGACGCGCCGAGGGACGCGCCTCCCGGAGGGTGTGCGTGTGTCGCTGCGCGATTCTCTGACACCGCCCACAGGGTCTGGGTATACGTCACCAGCCAGGACTGCTAGGTCAGCAAACAACAGTTGATTTGGCCGCCTCCCACCACTAGCCAGCCCACGCCTACCGCCAGCCGCTACCCTCCCAGAGACCGGAAGTCCTTTTGCCCTGGCTCGCAGGCCCACCCCCGCGCACCGGTGGGAACCGGAAGTTCTCCTGCCCCTATCGGCGGAGCGTGGACGCGTCAGCCGCACAGGCGCAGTAGCGCTCGGGCGGAGTTGTGGGAAGGGTGGAAGAAGCCGAGGAGGAAGCGGCAGAGGGGGGCGGGGGCCGGTCCCAGAAGATGGCGGAGGCGGGGGTGAGTTGGGGTCCCCCGGGGAAGCTCGGGTGACTTGGTGCTGAGGGAAGGGGCCTTGAAGAAGGGGGTGTTCCTCGGGAAGAGGAAGCATTTGCGTTTCTGCAGCCTGGGAACCCTGCTGGCAAGTGCGAGGAGCCAGGACCCCAGATGGGGCCTGAAGCGCGAGGGTCTCAGCTTACTGGAGAGGGGTCGGTGAGATCCGGAAGGGGACGGCGGGGTTGGGGAGAGGTCCTAGGAGAGGCGCAGGCTCCCCGGACAGTGGAACAGTGTCCGGAAGGACGGAAGGCTGGAGGCCGGCGAGAAGGGCGACCCCGGAGATCTGATGGGGTGGAGGTCGGCGAGCTGTCAGCTGTCAGGACTTGGGAGGCTCGTAGCCAGGGAAACCAGACTCAGGCTTGCGAGGGGGATGGATCCGAAGGGGTAGGTATGTGTAATAAGTTTAGAATCTGCTAAAAGGTATGCTGATACTGGGTTGAGGAGTAGGACTTTGGCATTGTGAATTGGAATAGAAACCTTTGGAATCGGCGTTTGGATAAAGCCAAAGAGAACTCTTGCCAGGACCTAGAAGTCGGTTGGTGATAGTTTCTGGGATTTTAGGGTTGGTCAGTGGAGACTGGCAATCCGGAAAAAGAAAGCAGTGTGAGTATGATGGGGGACGAGGGCAAGGGTGCTAAAACTTAAGTGACGACCCATGTCCAGTTAGCCTTGTCAGAAAGTAAAGTATGGTGTTAGCTAGTCTAAGAAAATGTACCAGGAATAGCTTACTGTTTTGTAGGATTTATGGGAAATGCTTCGAGGAATGAATAGACTTGACAGCTGGGCCACTGAGACTGGCCGGAATCAGTATTGCAAAGGAGCTTTGCGTTGCAGGGGAAAACGCGCTTTAGTCTTGAGTGCGGGAGGAATGAAGGCGGCCAAGCAGTGGCTAGATTGTGGCTTCCAACTTTGGGGTTTGGCCCTGATAGGGAACCACTGAGTGACAATGAATCAATAGGTGTCTCTACTAATAGGGATCCCACACAGAAAAAATAGCCACATACTCTTCCTGTTTCCTCCTTTCGCTGGACGTTATATCCAGTCGTGTGTTTTGTTACAGTTCTCAGTACATACCTGATAGAAAACAACCAAGCTGTGAATCACATCCATTTAGGAAAGAAGTTGATTCTTTTTAAACTGACAGCTGTTGTAGGTATGGTGGATTGAAAAGGCAAGCATAAAATGAAATTAAGTAATTTAAGGACAGCTTGTTTTCATTGTTACCAGAAAGTTATTCCCAAATGCTGGAGGAGTAACCTTATTAGGGATTGAGATTTGACGTTTAAAAGCAGTAATGGGATGCGAATATGGCTTGCCTAATGGCTTCTGTGTTTGGGTTTTAATGTTGACAGGAAAGATGAGTTGCAGGGTCTTCGATGTAAACGTGTTTTTCTTCTGAGAAGTTTTTAGTGTCCATAGCCTGTGATTCACATGTGTGTGCTTTTATTTAAGGAGAGTTTCATTGATTTAAGTGTATTTTTCCCAATTGTAATGCATGTTCTATTTTGAGAATGCCATTCTAATTACAAGAGCATAGAATAAAAAAGAAGTGAGGCAGTAATTAAACGTTATTATTTAGTAACTTTTCTGACCTACGCAACAGGATAATCTGAGGGCATAAACAGAAGTGACTGCTGTTCCTTTGACGATGAAGGATCTTGTTTGGTTTTGAGACTGTTGGCAATTGTTAAAATTAAGGTTACAGGAAATTTTGTTTGTATGTTTGTTTTCAAATGCTTGTTGCCTGGAAGTTGTTTCAGTGGCCAAAGTGGACTTTGATTTTCATTCACAAAGTCCAGAATCCCTTATAATCCTCTTTTATTTATCTAAAAGTATACCATCAATCCATTGACAAGCAGCCATAAGCTGGGAGTAATATTTTTCCAGTTTTGATAATTTGTCATTGATCTGTCCAAATTGTTTGAACTAGTTGTCTTTTTGTTCAGTAATGTACCTTATAGAAATTGTAGGTCAGGGCTCAAGGTGGAATTTTTCTTGTCCTGTAGAAGTTTCTTCTTTGTCAATTTTTTTTGGGGAAAATGTGTTATTTTGGTATTAACAATAGTTTACCAGCATGGCTTTACAGACTGTTTCTTGTGTGGCACTTAAATTGTTTTTGTGTGGTGTTTGTAGAAAAGGCAATTGTCGTGAAAGGGAAAGTCCCCTGGGAACGGAGTCAGAGTGCTTGAGGCTGGTCCTGGTACTACCTGGTAACAGTTTCATAATCTCAGAAAGTTACTTAACCTATTTTACTTTGTAAAATAAGAATTAAAAATACCCGCCTACTTCCTAGGATTATTACTGAGGATCTATTGTGATATTGTCTTTTAAATGATATCTTTATACCAGGGACTGCTTTCCTGATCAGAAAGTTATCTCTCGGGTAATCTAAAATTTTCAAATATAGATATATTTTTTCTTAAATTTTGGAGACTCAAATCTGTCATTGATGTGAGAGTAACACTGAAAGTTAAAGACATGCTTTGTTCTAAGAAGCTCTTAGCCATACGTAATCAGAAAACCAAACTTTGAAACAAACCAATTAGGGATACTTATTCCAAGAGCTTTCACTTTAAAATAACCTACTCCCCAGTGTGTGACTATTATAAACAACAAGCTTTTTTAGGAACTTAATTATTACCTAGTAGGGAGTGAATGGCCCTGTGGAATTTCTTGTCCCTTTGATGAGTCAGTCTGGCCATTTCCAGGAGTTCACTTTACATTTGGATAGTATACATTCTGGATCTTGGCACCTCATTTCACCACTTTGGGTCTCACTAGCTTTGCCAGTAAACTTTTAGATCATTGGTTCTTAACTTCTTTTGGATCACGGACTTTTTGAGTACTTAATATAAAAATGCCCAACTCTTCCCGGAAAAATACTCATATGCACAACGTTTTTGTTTTTGTTTGCATCAGACTCAGATACCCCCTGGAACAGATGAACTCCCAATTCCCTTCCATTTCTTAAATTTTAGGATACTGTGATTCTAAAGCATTAAAACTTTTTTGTCTCCAGTAATTATGCACTATTGTATTGTTATGCAGTCACAGAGTTTTTTGGACTTATAAAAATTGCTTTAAAAATTCTCATTCAAATAAACAGCAAACAAATGTTGTGTTATTTTTAAAAGCAGCTTTTGGGGTGAAGTAGGAACCTATAAAACAAGCACTCTTAGGAAAGGCTGAGTAAACCGCTTCAGCAGAATAACACGAACAGTGTTGAAAGCCTCTAGCAGCCTTGAAACAGAATGAAGGAAGAGCCGAGCCATCCGTGGCTCTCAGTGGGAGAGCGTCGCCTCTCTGGGGCATTTGGAAGTATGTAGGGATATTTTTGGTTGTCTCAAAGCGGGGATGGGCTGTGCACTGGCATTTAATGGGTACGAGCCAGGGATGCTAAATGTTTTGCAACATAATTGCTTAGGACAGTTCCAAACAACAAGGAATTGTCCTGCCCAAAACGTCAGTGCCCTTTGACAAACACTGGTGAGCGACTGTGACATGGGACTACCACAACTGAGATAGCTTTTTCAAACTGAAGCTATTTTGTTCTTTTAAAAATATTATTCAACACGCAAGTTCCCTTTTGGAAGAATTCACCAACAGAAACAAATGATTTATTAGAGAAATTTGGGTTTCTTAAAATGCATATTTACTCTCTGTCCTCTAATAGCTGTTTTAACAGCAGAAGGTGGGGGATACTGCTGTGTCTACTGGAAGTTTGGGAAATGAGAAGTCGAATATTTGTCTAATACAGTATGTAAATTGGCCATATGATTTTTTTTCTTTAATGCATCTTTTTACTCCTTGATCTAGCTCAGTGAAAGAAAATTTCAAGGAGTTCATACATTTATTCTTACGGTCTTTCTGCTTGGACTTTAGTTGGCATTAATACCTTGAGAATGTATTACTGCTGATGTTGTTATCCAGTGTCTACCCATCTTTTCAGTAACCAGATCCTCTTCTGTAGACCCATGTGCCAAAAAAGAAGTCTGAGGAGTTGGGCTGAAATGGGACTCAAGGTTTAGAGGAAAAGAGGATGGGTTTTAGAACCAGTCAGGTGGAAGGTGAAGTTCCAGTGCTAATACTGCATGTCATGTGACCCCAGGCAAGTTCCTAAGTCTCTTTGACTTTATCTCTTTGTATGTAAAATGCAGCTGGCAATACCTACCTTTGGGATGATTCGGAGGATTAGAGTTACTCTGTCTGGCATGGAGTAGACCCTCTGTAAATGGCTGCTAGATCAGTAGTCATGATGCTGCTGATGGTAATGAATTGTGTAGCTATTAAACAGCAGAACGTGTGACCTGCTGACAGTGCTGGATCCCACGGCAAGGAACCGTCTGCAAGACCAGGTCAGGAGGGGATGTTTTCTAGGTTTTCTGGGATTTTTCAGTTGGTGTTTAGAGTCCATTTTCCCATGAGTCAGCTGTAATTTGTACTGTTTTCTCCAGGCTGCTAAACTGTAGATCTAGACTAAGTATTTTTGTGAGGACTCACTGGAGGATAGAATTCCCACCTTGGGTGTTGGGCACAGAGCTCTGTGTGTGATAGAGGCACAGTAAAAAAAAATAAGTCTGTTGTCTGTGTTTACCACATGGAACTGATAGGCTGTGAAAATCACCAGGACTTACAGATGTTAATCATTTTCATACTGTTTATTTCTAAAGTCACTACCCCACCAGTTTACACACAGATTTTGTCCCAAAATTCATTTGTAAGGTAGTTTGAAACTTGGAAACTCAAGAGAAAATGTACGTTAAATGATGATTAAGTGCTAGGTTAGGTCCTCCTTCCAAAAGGCTGCTTAACCCAATAGAGTTTGCTTCAAAAAGAGTTAACCCAATTTAATTAAAGAAGTATGAATGTGTAGAGCTCCTACTGTGGGCTAGGTAGGTAACTTTCTCGGTACTTAGACACAACTTTTCACAACTTGATAGTGAATAAGACCTACGTGAAAAGTTTATCATCTATAAAACAACTATACGTATCTTAAGGTAGCTATTAGGATCATACTAAAATTTTAAATAAACTGCTTTGAGATTCAAAGGAAATATCTATGTACTGACTGTGACAGTGCTCAAGATATATTGTTGTAGGTGGGATAATAGTAAGTTATAAAAACAGTCTGTGTAGTACTTTCCCGTTAAAAAAAGTTGGTATTCATAGAAAAAACGTTGAGGAATACATAACAGTTTGGGGGAGCTGAACATAGCAGTTACAGATGACGGCTGTGGAGCCAGACAGACGACATGGCTTTGAGTCCCAGCTTTATTCTCTTTCTGAGGGTAGAAACTTGGTTAAGTGACTTATCCTTTTGTTGCTTTTTTGCCTCACCTGTAAAATGGACAGAACAATTGCATTTAGCTTCTAGGGTTATTGCGAGAGTTAAATGAATTGCCATATGTCAGGTGCTTAGAGCAGCTCGTAGGAAGCCTCAAATGTTATTTGTCTTAAACAAATGTGTACAAAGGAAAGATCACTTTGGTTTCGCAGGGTGAGCCAATACCTGGAATGATTGTGTTTACAAAGCCCTAGGTTTTAGGAGGCAGGAGCTATGTGGATCAGACTCCTTAGAATCTAGCCAAGAGGTTATTCTTTTTTTTCTTGGCTTCCTTTCTTCTGCTGCCTACTCCAGCCTTCTCACAGTAGCTCCCATGACTGAAATGGGGGCGGACTGGGTCAACGTGGTGGTGGGGACACAGCTGGGGCTCCGGGGAGAGCCGGTTAGGTGTGGTGTCTGTGCTTGGTGTGTGTGTGAGTGAGTGGGTGGTGGGCTGTTTTTTCTAAGATAACTTTTGTGCAGAAGTTTGAATATATAAGCATTAAACATTAAATAAAACAGGTCATTTTGTTCCCCTGTGGAGATTGTCCTCATGAGCAAGTCACATTTTATAGAGAATAGTACAGCATTTTCAGCTGCAGTATGTTGATTTTCTGTAAAATATAAATTTATTTATTTTCTGTAAAGTATAAAAAAAATTCTGCCTGGATCTCCAAGCCCATCAGTTACTTGGCCTTGGAGATTTGAGTAGAAGAAACAGAAACCTGGATTTTGATCTTCCAGTTTCTAGTGGAAGTGTCTCAGACAACCTACCCTGCTTTCTCCCTGATGTGAAGCAAACTGTCTTAACTATTCTTCTAAACTTTAAGTCTCTTATGTCACTAATTCTGTCCTAGTGAATGTAACTGTAGCACTTTATTTTTTATTACATCATGTATATGAAAATGCTTTTTAAACCTTTTCTTATTCAGTAAATAACTAATTTAAATGTATGTAAAAGCTTGTCATTTCATTATTTGGCCTTTTAAATTAATGAAGTATTGAAATCAGGAAAATTGTAGTCATTTATTAGGCGCACATTGATTTCCTTTTTCTTATTTCTTGCAGGATTTCTGGTAGGTCCTGTTTTAGGACGAGATGCAGCACTGTTGAAACGCCACTCTGCTTTGGTTCAGGCAGTTGGCTTTTCAGCTGGGAAGCCATTTCTTCTTCTTCTTCTTCTTCTTTTTTTTTTTTTTCCCGACTTACTGAACTTATGAAACCATGGCGGAAGGAGAGAGAGAGTCATCTGGGCCCAAAAAGCGTGGTCCCTACATCTCATCTGTCACTAGCCGGAGTGTGAACTTGATGATTCGAGGAGTAGTGTTGTTTTTTATTGGAGTGTTTCTTGCATTAGTGTTAAATTTGCTTCAGATTCAGAGAAACGTGACACTCTTTCCACCTGATGTGATTGCAAGCATCTTTTCTTCGGCATGGTGGGTACCGCCCTGCTGTGGCACAGCTTCAGGTATGTGTAGGCTGTTTCTGGAACGCTTAGAAAGGAAATAGTGTAAATGAGTGTGGATATTGTCTGAGTAGTACTTTAAAAAAAATTCAGCTTTTTTTTTTGAGATATAATTTAAATACAGTACAATGACCCTGTTTTAAATGAGCGAACATTTTGATGCGCTTAGACAGATGCATGTATTCATGTAACCACCATCATGGTCCAGCTGTAGAATAGTCCTGTCACCCCCCTGAATTCTCCTGTGCCCTTCTGTAGTCCACTTCCCACCCCCAGCCCAGACTTCCACTGATCTTTCTGTCACTGGATTATTTTTGCCTGTTCTAGGGTGTGAGATAAATGGAATCATAGAGTATAATAGATTTCTATCTGACTGACCTATATGACATTTAAAAATGTAATCTTAAAAACAATCTTGATTCCCTCAGGAATGAGGCTTTGAACCTCTTCATTTTGTTCTTTCTTTCAACCCATTTTGTATAAAATATTTTAAGTTATTTTGATTATCACTGTTTGGTTTTAAGGTTTTGATGTATGTGTTATCATTGTGTTTTTGAAGTAGATAAAAACTTGAAAAATGGAAGACAGTTGACCCTTGAACAACACAAGTTTGAATTTATATGTGGGGTTTTTTCCCCAAGAAATGCGTACCACAGTGCTACACCATCTGAGTTTGGTCAAATCCATGGATGCAGAACTGCGGATACAGAGGACTGACTGTAAAGTTATATAGTTATATGCAGATTTTTGATTGTACAGAACATTGGTGCCCCTAACCCTCATGTCGTTCAAGGGTCAACTGTAGTTCTATTCAAGTTTAAGTCTTCATTTTGTTAATTTTTAGATTTTGGTGTCTGCTTTTTTCCGTGGTATCTTATTTTTAGATATACCTTCAGAATGGTAAATTCTTAATGAGATCGATAAAGTAGATTCTCTTTGCTTAAAATCATCATTATCCTACTAGTCTCTTTAGATCTTTTTTTGGCGGACAGCGTGCAGTGGATAAAGTGGACCATCTCAGAGTGTATTATTGATGCTGGGCTTCCAAATGGGGCAGCTCTTCAGCTTTTTCTAATGAGACCAATAGAATAATGCTATTTTATATAATCAAATAATAGAAGGAAGCCATAGCCATGCTAGAAAAGAATTCTGATTGAGAGAGAAAATTGCATTATGAATGCTCATACTTAATATACATAAATACTTTGCAATGTGACATAGCTCCTTCCTGGCTTACATCCTAGAGCTGGAGGGCCAAGGGGAAGGAGTTAGGTGTGAGATGTCTTAAAATGACCTCGTGAAACTTACTGGACAATTACACAGTCCTACTGAGTGGATGGAAGGGCCTGGTTGTGGTACGGTTTCAGCATGGTTTATATACTGATGTCTCACTGTTACAGTATTCACATTAAAAGAGAACTTGCAAGGCGATGATTCTTTGTTTCCCCAGGGTTATTATTATTCTCTGAGAGAACAGGCCAAGCAGTCCAAACAAAGAGAAGAAAGCATAAATCATATTTTATTATTCTCTGTTGTATCTACTAGCCCTCACGTATTTTCCTTTCTTTCATGTAAGTTCAGAAGAGAAAAAGTTTTCCCAACAACTTTTTCTACTTCTTTGCTTAGTTTCTCCTGTGTTAGAGCTGCTGTCTGGCCGCTAATAGAAGATTTTTAGGACTCAGAAGAACATGTCTTTTCAGAATCGATGAAAGGAAATTCAGGGAAGGGAAACTCTTACTTGCCGAATGTCTTCTAGTCTTCCGTGCGTATCCCCTAACCCCAGGGATCTGTAGGGCAACCTTGGGAATGAGATGTTTGGCATTGTGCCTGTTTTGTGGGGATGAGGGAACCAATGAGTAGAGGATAGCAATGAGCGGGGGGTCCTAGAGACAGTGAGGGGTGTGGCTGGGTGAAGTGTCCCGTGCTGGGGGAGGGCAAAGAGGGGGCTACTCATCCTCCCCTCTACTCAAGGTGCCTCTTTTGAACCTTCCAGACTAAGTGCCAGGCTTGGATGGAGTACACTGGCCTGTGCTACACACTCTGGGCTGGGGCAGGAGACCCTGACTGAGGTTTCATTGTCCCTCCGTTATGGAGAGGGGTGGGGGGTGCATCTGTCCCTGTGATGCAGGCACTTTGGCCACAAACACACATGTAGGAAGGAAAACTTCAGCTGTTAATGCCGCATGTCCGTCACCCTGTTCCACTTTCTTCCTTTTTCCCAGCCGCTAGGCTTGTCACACAAACTTAACCTCCCGTGGAGGATTCGCATGCACATTTCTCGCCTGCGTTTCTCTTGAAAGCAGTGCATTCCACGAGGTACCCGGGCAGGTGAGAGTCGAGAGGCCTTGGGAAAGTGAGGTTCCACTTGACTCTCCCCATGATGTTGTTGGGTCAGTCGTGATGTTTATTCGATGAGGGTGAGATTTGTGGAAGTTGCCAGAGATGAAAAATGTATTCTTGCACAATCCCTGCCTTCCTCTAGTTTTAGGGAAAATATTAAGGAAAAAAACCTAAATGATGTGAAAAACAGTATGCACAGTTTACGTGTGTGTATGGCATGCATATGGTTTTGTGTATACGTGTTGGTGTCGTTTTCAAAGCACTCTCAGCGCTTACCGTCTGAAATCAGAAAAACTGATCACTGCCCTTTGCTTTTCCTGTCCAGTTAATACTTAGGCACTGAGCAACCACCTTCTGGAGGGCCTCCAAAATGACCACTTTCTACATGTAAACCCCGTGCTGGAACACTTGCTAGTGGTGCTTCTGGAGGGGCAGCTGGTAGGGAACCCAGGGAAACTCCCTTTGATCTCATCTTCCTTCTCCTGCTTCTCTATTTTTGGCTTCACAGTGGGTGGTGTTTCAAGTTAATTCACTTCTTTACGTGCGCAGTGCATTAGAGCTGGAGTTAAGAACCTCGTGAGCGCGATGGAGAGCTGCAGAGGCATCTTTCTGAAGAGTAACTGGGAGGGAAAAGACAGCTATCATGTGGCTAAAATAACTGGAGAAGTTGACTGGCAGATCACAAGTACCCAGACTGTATCCATGCCTATGAAATTACTATCTAATTTTAAAAGGAAAGGCAAACAGATCTTTCCTGTTGAGCCATGCAGTCAGCCAGCCACCCAGTTCCTGGAGAGCCTTCGAGGCTCCTCCCTGTCTCTCACCGCCCACACCCAGTTTCCAGGTTTCACATCTCTCCCTTGTCTCTTTCCTGGTCTGGGCTTCACGGCCCTGCTTGGAATCTTCAGTCTTGTCCTTTTCCACCTTCAGTCGTGTCCTTTTACACCCCTCCCCCACCATCCTGCATTGAATACTCACTGCTCTGAGAGCGACTGGCCCTCTGTCTCGCACAGTGTGATGGTGTTACTTTCCCAGTGTCTGCAGGGAACGTCTCTGTGATGCGGCCCCCACCAACTTGTGTCTTTCTCAGAATCTTTCTGGACCCGAAGCTCCCTTTCAGTTTCCAGATGACCCGGGTATTTTCCCTAGTCCGTACTTTCCCTCAAATGCTTCCCTTTGATTAGAAAGGCCTTTCCAGACCACTCACCTGCTGAACACTTCTTCCTTGAGGGTCACCTCTTCCTGAAGCTTTCCCGACACCCTTGCATCTTGCCTCCTCTCGGGCCCTGTTAGTGCTCCCCCTAACGCATTACTCCATTTAATTGTTTCTCTTGTCACTTTGGGCCCAGGATCACATCTTACTCATTTTTCTTTTTTAAACCCCCAATCCCAGCAGATACCAAGAAGCAGACACACTGTAAGGGCTTAAGGATTTGTTGGATGAACACATTACCTGTCCTGTCCTAGTTTTCCACTTTTGTGTATCTCATTCAGTGGTTTTGTTTTTTCAGCTCCTTTGGAAAATGTTTGATTTAATGGTTTCTTTTAGTGCAGCACTGTGTTAAACATGTGACCATGAAAAAATCATGACTCCATATTAACGTTTGACAAACTTCTCACTTTTGGTCTTGGTAGCCTGACACTAGTCACTGGGAAATAACCAAAATAGATCCTAAGAAATGTGGTTTTTGCCTCAGAGGACCATCTGATTAAGCAGGACCATGTTTGTGTATGATTCTACACAGGCGTGATTTTAATGGTCTCTCTTGTTAAAACAAGAAAGTGGAGGAAAGGAAGGCCAGACACCCCTCTGGGAGCTCTCAGCAGTGCAGCCTCCCTGCGCTGTGGATGTTGCTCTCAGACTCTGCCAGACCCTTATTTAAAAGAAAAGAAAGAAGACATTTAATGGGAAGTGACAAGCTCCTTCGAATGCTCCCTCTCGGTGAGCAACTGAGAACCACGCACACTCAACGGATTTGATTTTTATTGGCAAACCCCGAGGTTGGCAGCGTGGCAGTTTAAATGTCTTTCTGTGTTTTTGCTTTCTCTCCTCAGTTGTCTCTCATTTGCGAGTCTGACATCACATACATAAAAAATACAGTCAATTTTACTTATTTGTACCTTTGCACACACATGTCAGTATCCTCTATGTGATAATTCTTTACCTGTGGTATCAGCTGCTGAGGAAAATTGACTTGGAATGCCCGGTCTTAGTTGATTTCCTCAGCAACAGGCAAAGGTGGGGAGAGAGAGAGCGAGTGAGCGAGTGAGCGAGGAGTGACATATGAGCTGCTAGTTTCATGACCCCTTGAGAACAGAAATACTCATTTAGATATTTGAACTGTAAGGCATGCCTGTTGCCACTTTAATTTTGTAGAAACTTGGAAATGCTGTCAGTTAATCGCGCAGGGTTTTAGAGCAGAACCTTTTAAGTAGGAATATAATGTGAAACTTTTGGATTTACTAGTGGTTATTGGAGCTCTGCATTGCTGAAATTTGTTGTAAATCTCTTGATGGTATGTGAACCATCTATCCTCAGCAAAAGCCCAGTTCAAAGGAGCACTTTCAGTTTTGTGGATTAGAGAATGCACACATCATTACAGCATCTCCACTCATTGCAGAATCTCCACTCCAGGTGGGAGGGTGGCCGTGCAGCCTCTTTTTTTTTTTTTTAATTGAAGTACAATCAGTTTACAATGTTGTGTCAATTTCTGGTGTACAGCATAATACTTCAGTCATACATGAACATACATATATTCGTTTTCATATTTTTTCACCATTAATTACTACTAGATACTGAATTTAGTTCCCTGTGCTATACAGTATGAACTTGTTGTTTATCTATTTTATATGTAGTAGTTAGTATCTGCAAATCTCGAACTCCCAATTTATCCCTTCCTACCCCTTTTCCCCCCTGGTAACCATAAGTTTGTTCTCTATGTTTGTGAGTCTGCCTCTATTTTGTAAATTTGTCTTTTTTTTTTTAGATTCCACATATACATGATATATGATATTTTTCTTTCTCCTTCTGGCTTACTTCACTTAGAATGACATTCTCCAGGTCCATTCATGTTGCTGCAAATGGCATTCTTTTTTATGGCTGAGTAGTATTCCATTGTATAAATATACCATGACTTCTTTATCCGGTCATCTGTCGATGGACATTTAGGTCTCTTTCATGTCTTGGCTATTGTAAGTAGTGTGTGCAGCCTCTTTTTTATGCTGCTCCACTGGCCTGCTAACCTGTGATTTTTTTGATATTAATCAGTTTCTGTTTTTCCTTGAGACTGAGCACACTGTTTGTGAGACAGAGCTGGCCAACCCCAGGCCAGGCAGGGGCTTCTGACCCTTCAAGCACTTAGATTTTGGTACAATAATTTCACGATACATCTTTGGTAATATCAGCCATTTTAAACATACTTTTCAAGTGATGTGACAGTTGTGCTTTTTATTACCGAATGACAGCATAAACATTCTGTTTTTAGGAAGATTAACAAATTAAAGCCATCCAGCTATTTCTCTTAAATTTAATCTGTAGATTTCCCTTATAACTTGTTGAAGGATGTTTTGGTTGATGAAATACTTTTTTTTAAACGACTAACTTAGCATTTAAAATCTTGTCCCACTAAATGAATAAAATATTAAGGTTTCACAAGTATTTAAGTTAACAACTGGGTGAGAATGACTATTTTGAGTCTCAGTCACAGGCATTTTGCATACAGTTGTTCATAGTTAATTACACAGTTAGCTTTCAAGGTGTTCTTTCCAAAAACTGAGAAAGGCACCAAAATGATTTCTTATCTTTTAACAGTGAATTTATTTATTTATTGTTGACACCTTTATTGTGGTATTAACAGTGAATTTAAATTTTAACCGAAGATTTATAATTCTATAGATCATGTCTCCTCCATTTTTTCCTCTGTGCAGAATGAGTCTTACCTGTGGATTTGTTGACAGTTTCCTTGCTTTGACAATCTGACGTAGAGTCTCATTAGAGGGCCAGGTTGGAAGGGAGTGTCAGGACAAGGCACTAGACTCAGGAGACTGAGACCAGAAGCTGCCGGAGTTGGAGGGTGGGGGTGGGGGGTGGCAAGGATCATTTCTGTAACAGGACAGCTGCAGCCATCTAACATTATTACATTAGAACGTTATGATGAGCTTGTATGTGCTTATGCTCTGAGCTTCTCTTTATTTTGGTGCCGTTTGATAGCATGTTTCATGGTTACGTAGCTTAGAGAGAACACTGCTTAGCTGCCAACTGGCCTGATGCTCTTCAAACCCGAGAGACAGTAGTAGTAGAAAAGCAGCGTGACTCACGCAGTCCAGTCTGCGAAGCTGTGAAGCACACCCCCAAGTGGTGTCTTGCCTGTTAGAGTTTAAAATACCCTTGTCATCGTTTACGGTGCTGACCTCGGTGATGCTATCCTCACATTTTTTCTTTTGGAAGGTAAGTTTAAAATATCAGTGATTAATACTAGTTAAGCAAGTAGAAAAGCTCTTCTAGAGAATCTTTCGAATGCTTGTTTATGACGGTTGCAGTGACTCTTTCAGCTTAAGTTTTGCCTGCACACCATCGAGGCTGACTTAATTTTTTCCCTTTTTTCCCCACAGCTGTGATTGGGTTATTATACCCCTGCATTGACAGGCATCTAGGAGAACCACATAAATTTAAAAGAGAGTGGTCCAGTGTAATGCGGTGCGTAGCCGTCTTTGTTGGTATAAATCACGCCAGCGCTGTATCCTTTCCGCTGTAATGAAATGCGTAATAACAGAGCCGCTTCCGACAGACCAAAGGTTAAACAGCCCCTCGCGGCTTCACCGTCGCCACGTCGTGATACGCCCCTTAGTGGGGAAAGCTTGCGCGCGGCGCTGTTGAAGCCTCCGGGGAGCCGCTCTGCAGTGACAGGGTGGGGTTCAGCCTTCATCTCCGTCCCTGTTTCCCAACATCACTTAGAAACTCTGCAGGTTTGAACGTTTTACAGGTTTGTCTTAAATTAGGTTACTTAATTACTTCCACCTAGTTTTGGTAACTCTAATATTGAAACAGGTACATTTTCAAAGGCATTTCTTTTCTAAGATTTGCCAGTAAGGATATGTGGTGGCTTCAGGTGCTGGTTGTTTTGTTTGTTTTGTTTGTAATTTGAAGAACCCCCCCTCCCCCCCATATATATGTATATATATTTTAAGACTGTCATTTGTTGGTTTTAATCAACACCAGCAAACCACATAAATGCTATTAAAGGTGGCATT